GAGGCTGAAACAAATGATGATGTACCAAATGATTTTGAACCCCAAATGATTTTGTAACAAAGGAGGTTGCACCAAATCCTGATGTAGAAAATGATGTTGTACCAAATGATGCTGTACCAAATGATGTTGTAACAAAAGATGCTAAACCAAAGCATACTAAAAACCCAAGAGGACCAAGGATTTTCTATGGTATAACTCCAAAAAGTGTAAAAAGAAACTATTCAAACCACCATCATCATCCTCACCAAAACCAAGTATTAGTGAACAAGTAAAGACAAAGGCCAGAAAGACAAAGGTTGATGTGCAAGGTGCAAAAAGGCAGAGTGACAGACTCAGAACCCTCAAGACAAAGGTTGTTTCTGGTCCAGGTAAAAAGCCAGAAGATCTTTGATGCTCACTGAGGAGGATGAAACCACATTAGAAGTGACTTGTGGTGTTGGCAAGACAAAGAAATAGTCTGACATATGCAAGGGGTTAACTCAGTGACAAAGGAGCTTATGTTTTGTTATACACTTTTGGAACTTAGTTGATTCTTTGTTTCGTGTACTGTCTTGGAACTTACTTGATGTTTTGTTGTACTGTTATGGAACTTAGTTGATGTTTTCATGTATTGCATGGTGAACATAATCTAAGGTCAAACTTTTTATAATGTATTGATTATGAACCTTATTTAAGGTCAAAATTATATCAAACTTATGCAAATTATGTCAAATTTAAGCATATTATAGAAGTTTTGTCAAATTATAGTTCATTTATTATAGTGATCAAATTACAGGTCACTTCAAATAATAGTTCAGACCAAACTATTATTAATAAACTACAACATTATAAGGCATTTGCAACATTATGTCAAAGTTATGCAAATAATGTCAAAGTTGTGCAAATTGTGTGGATGTTATGTTAAATTTTTCTAGAATTTATAGGACGCTTCAAATTATAGGGCAGTCCAAAAAATTATTAAACAACAACCTCGTAGGTCTTTTGCAAAATTAAACTACATGTCACATTTCAATAAATTCCACATTAAGCTTACAAAATTACAGGTCAACGAAACTTTGTTAAACCATACTAAAGATCACAAGTAGCAAAACATATCAATTATACCATAATATTTCAACTTTTACATTTCACAAACAAGTACAAATCGACCATAAACGAAAAAATAAGGTGAATTGTCTCCATCTTTCCACAAAAGCAATTTGAATTCAACTGGATATGCAATTCCACATTATTCTTCATTGCATATTCATACAGCTCCTTTAATGTTTCAACAACTTGCATCTCCCTCATCTTGCTCTCATCATTTCTCAATTCTTCATCTGCACTCTCAATTACATTGTTTTCTTGTGTCATTTCATTATCCCATTCGAAAAGATTTCACGTTCCCTCGTTTTTCAAGAAGGGACATCTTCAAAGAGTCTCCCTCGATTACGCCTGTTCTTGCATCGATACGAAATCATACAAACATTGCAGCCACACATTCTCCATTGATGATTGCTCAAACTTCTTGACTGAAAGGATACCGATTTGCTTCTAATTGAATAAGATGACATACCCTCTGTTATTGTTGAGCACGATGAAGAATGATGAAGAAGAAGAACAACGAAGAACTGATGAAGAATGATGAGGGATTTAGTGGAGAACCATTTTGCCGCAGATAAGAAATGAAGATATGGTTTTAGGGTTTTGGATTTTCACTTAAATATAAAACAAAAAACATTATTCTAAACGTTATCATACATGTCAATGAAACAAAATATGATTGGCAAGCCACGTTAGCCTCCGTTAGTGGAAACTAACAGAAGAGACCAATGTTGGGGACGGTAAAATTTGCAAGGACCATTCATTGAAGAAAAATTTTAGAGGGACTAAAATTGCAAGGTCACATATTTATAGGGACTTCTGACATATTTAACCCTATAAATTTTTTGTGTGTTTTAGAATGAAACACGTGATTTTCTTATATAATGAAGGAAATTAATCAAAATATATAATCTAATCAATACAAGACTAAGAAATGTTTTCAACTAACACACAAACACATATATTTTTTCTAACAACGTGAAATTCAAAAAACTTTTTTAAATTCATCTTCCTATTAAAATATTATCATTCTAACGGTCAAAGAATATGCGAATTCTCAAATATACATTAAAACCTTCCATATATTTTTTTGACTAAAAATGATATTCATTCATTCAAATTGATAGAATACATCGAATAATACAAAATCAAAATCGTTATAAACTGAAAAGGATGAATATGCGAACAAACTCACAACACCCACGTTAATAGCATATAACGACAAAATATCTACAAATGTGACAAAGCCTACAAATATGACGAAATTTAAATGCTTGGAATACCTATGTTTTTGAGTCTACAGCATTGACGAATTTAAAATCATTAGTTGAATATGCACCGAGTTGAAATTAATCTGTCAATTTGAACCGAACAAACACTATATAAAGGCGGGAAATATAATAACGCTGCAATAAAATGACCACCAACACAACACCGCACTAAGACGACGAAAACAAAAGAAAAACTAAAAATATATATGAAATCACTTATTTAAATGAAAAGAAAAAGAAAAAAAATTAAGAGGAGCAATTTTAGATCAAAATTGACTCTAAAATTAGTCTTCTTTAATGAACGAAGAACAAGAAAAAAGTTAAGATGAAAAAAAAGAGTCATTAAAACCTTCCATATAATTCACCATAAAATTTTATTTCACTCATGTTTATCGTTCCAAATCAATTTTCAAAGATAAATTGTGATTACTCTATATTTATTATTATTTTTTAAAACAAACAAAAATTAAAAACACTTCTCAATTTAAGCTAACCACTTTCGGAGCACTCTCATACACTAAATAGAAACCATATTCAAAAAGAAATATTTTCATTCTTTAGCTCTAATATTTATACATAAGTATCATTTTGTCTGATAGTATTGATGAACTATGAATCTTATTATTTACATAGATTTATATTATTATTATTATTATTATCAAATAATTATTATTATCAAATAAAATAATAGTAGTAAAATGATAAGGGGACCAGGACAAGGGCAGAACATGAGATAGAAGGTGAAAGGTATAGCCGAGTTTTGCTGGCATTGCCTGCCTTATCGTGTCTACGAGGTATCAAATTCTCATTCTCATAAGAAATAGATAAGGTGCAGTTACATACTCACATGTTGTGTTATCCTAACCTTACATCGCAGTTATTAATACTACACAAAAAGGAAGAGAATCACCAAAATGTGTCAAAGGAAAAAATGTTATTATAATAAGTGAGTGTGTATGGAAGATGTAGTAATAGTAGTAGCAGGTAGGTAACATGTTCATGAGGTTCGCCTGATGGTGAGGGGACAGATAAAGCCATAGCACGTGACCACGAATATGATATATTTATAAATCATGAAATATAAAATAAAGGAGAGTTACTATTGTGATTGATTTGAGGCATAACACAATGAGTCCCATGACTATGAGCATGAGCATGAGCATGACCATGACCACGACCCTTTAAAATATTAACTATAGGATAAAAATGAATTAAATTGAATTAAATTATGAGTGAGGTAATTAATAAGGTTATGCCGCGTTGTGTTTCTATTAAAGTGAAATGGCATTTGCGTGAATAGTTGCTTTGCCAGCTGGATACACCTAGGTATATCTACGTGTTCCACTTCCCAACATGCACACCTGTCTCTTTTTCCTTCCATAAATATTTGTAAATAAAACTATATATCATGGTTGAAGTTTAAATTAAAATTATATGAAACATAATCATAATTAGAATGTTACACAATAACAATGATGATACAATTTTTAAATGACTATAAATTGAGATATTACGATTATGAGATATTGTCTAGTTTATATTGAAAAATTCTCATTATTTTGTACAAAGACGACTGATTAAATTGAGATGTATGTGTATTAAATATAAATTATTTTAAAAAATCTAACTTTGAAATAGTTTTATTTCATTTCAATAGATTCTAGTAACTAATTATATATACAATTCTTTTAGGATAAAAATATAGTATCTCGACCAAATACAAAAAATTCTAGTTAATTTCTATTTTTAGACATTTATTTTATTTCAAAATTTAAAGTTACTTTTTAAATCAAAATATCATAATTCAAATGGTTTCACCTTCATTTTATAAAACAATGGGTGGTCCATTTATTTTAGTTTTTTCAAAAGTTATTTTTTTAGAAATTCTTTCAAATACTTTTATCAAAAAATATATATTCATAGTTGAAAAAAATTAAATTTATAATAACTTTTTTACAATAAAATATATTTTTCTACCTTTCATTAACAACATTTAAAAAAAAGTCACTTAAAATTAAAATAATCACTTTAGTCTTAAGTCAAACCATATTTAAAAGAACTTTCATAGAAACATATCTCTAAGAGAAACCAACCCATTGTATTGTAAAAATTTATAACTAGGCTAAATCCGGAATTTCCGGAACAAAATTTAAATAAAAAAAACGGCAGTTATTATGTCATAATTTATAAATCAAGTTTGATAAAAGCCGTTAATTAAAAAACCGCGGGCGTGGGAGAAAAACAAAAACCAGTGGATGGCGTACGTGGTTATTTTACAAACTAGACAAGGGTATATTCGGAAATAGAAAAAGTAACGCATAAAACAAAACCAGCAACGAGTAGAAGAAGAAGAAGAACAACAATAGAAAAATAGGGTACTAGTAGAATAGAACAACAACAACAACAAGAACACACAAGAATCAAATGATTCAGATCGTAACTTTCAGTAGTTTCTTCTCTGTCGTTTAGTGTCATTTGTTTTTTTATTTTCAGTTTTCGAAATCCGTTTGCGTTTTTTTTCACATTTTCTGACCCAATTAATATAAAGGGAAAGGTGAACTAGAACTTGTTTTTTTTTTTCATCTGGGTTTTTGTTATGGTGTTAAAGTTTTGAAAATTTTGAGGTTTTGAGGTTGTTACAGAAAGATGGAGTGTTGGAATTCGGTTGATGGGGTGGTTGGAGAGATAATGAGGATTCATAGATCCTTACCGGTGAGGCCTGGGATTGATGAAGTTGAAGCAGCGAAAGGTTTGGTTATGAATGTTGAGAAAGATGACCAGATTAAGTTGGAATCTATAGAGAAACAAAGGAAGGGAAATGATGTGTCTGATGAGCTTTTCATGATTTTGCAAGAGATGCAGAGGAATTTTGTGTTTTTTCAGAGTAATGAACAGAAGAGGGAGGCTTTGAAGCTTCTTGATCTTGAGAATGTTCATTTTCTGTTTGATGAATTGATTCAGAGAGCTTCTGATTGTGTTTCGTCTCCGAGTGGGACTTCCACTACCGCTTCGAATTCGAGGAAAGTTGCTTACTCTAATGGTTCTGCTTCCGCGGTTTCCACGAATTTATCGAAGATTTCGGCTTCTGGTTATGGTTCTCGAGGTGGGTTTGAGAAGCAGGTGCCTTCGATTGCTGCTGCTTCTACCTTGGTTCATGTGGAGAGAGAAGTTTCTGCAAAGGCTTCTGAATTGTTCACAAGAGATGATAGTTATGTGAGCAAGTCCAAGTCTACATTCTATCCCAACGGGTATGGAATTGAACCAAATTTTGCATCCAACAAACCTCAAATAATGGATTCATCGTTAAAATCCACAACTGCTGCAGGTATAATATTTCAATATGTTGATTTAGTTATTCATGTTATTGTTTGTTTAAGTAGCAATATTCAAGGTATTGAATCGAGATAGTAATCATAATTGTTGGTTCTGCCACAATTTTTAATATTGTGCTGAATTGTAGTGTGGAATTTGGCTGATGTTACCTCAATTGCGGTCGTAGGGACATCAAAGACTTTGATATTGTGCCCTAGATCGTAGTTGCGAATCTGTTTTTTTATTTATAACTTTTCGATATTAAGTTGTAGGCTATATATATGTGTGCTGATGGAATGTTGTTTTTGCATGTCAAGATGGTGATAAGTTGAGTTTGATCAAACTTGCTGGCGTAATTGAGGTTTCTGCAAAGAAAGGAACTCGAGATCTCAAGCTCCAGGGAAAGCTGATGGACCAAGTTGATTGGCTACCTGATTCGATAGGAAAGTTATCTAGTTTGGTTACCCTTGATTTATCAGAGAATAGGATTGTGGCTATACCTTCTACAATTGGAGGCCTTTCATCATTGACCAAATTGGACTTGCATTCCAATAGGATCGCAGAGATTCCTGATTCTGTTGGAAATCTCTTAAGTCTGGTGTATCTAAATCTGAGGGGAAACCAGTTAACAACCTTACCTGTGTCTTTGAGCAAATTGATACGTCTCGAAGAGCTTGATTTGAGTTCAAATCTAATTTCAGTGCTTCCTGACACTATAGGGTCACTTGTTAACCTTAAAGTGTTGAATGTGGAAACTAATGATATAGAAGAAATTCCACATACTATTGGTAATTGTTCTTCCCTTAGAGAGCTTCAAGCTGACTATAATCGGCTTAAAGCCCTACCAGAAGCTGTAGGGAAGATTGAGAGTTTAGAGATTTTGTCTGTGCGGTACAACAACGTCAAACAACTACCAACAACAATGTCATCTTTGATAAACCTGAAGGAACTTAACGTGAGTTTCAATGAACTCGAGTCCGTTCCCGAGAGCTTATGTTTCGCTACCTCCCTTGTCAAGATGAACATAGGAAACAACTTTGCTGACATGAGATACTTACCAAGATCTATCGGGAACCTTGAAATGCTCGAGGAATTGGATATCAGCAATAATCAGATACGGGTTCTTCCCGACTCATTTAAGATGCTTACAAAACTACGTATCTTGCGTATTGAAGAAAATCCTCTTGAATTTCCACCAAGAGAAATAGCTGAGAAGGGAGCACAGGTATTATTTTTCGCAATCTAGTTCTTTTAATATTTCAGTCTAACGAAACTTTTATGTTTTTTAAATCTCAATTTTATTGTATTGGTGCATCTTAGGCCGTTGTTCAGTACATGGCTGATTTTGTGGAGAAGAGGGAAAAGAAAGATGTTAAACCACTACCAATTAAGCAGAAAAAGACCTGGGCTCAGATCTGCTTCTTTTCAAGGTCTAACAAAAGAAAGCGCGATGGAGTTGATTATGTGAAAGCTTGATTTCCTCTAACAACACACCATACTACTGATTCCATTAGTAAGTTTATGTCATTTTACTTTTTCAATACCTTCAATATCACTTCTGAACTAGTTCTAGGCTTAGGACTCATTCAGAAAAGCTTATACACTTTTGAAAGAGTTTAAATAAATAGTAGGTAACATGTCATAAGCATTTTCAGAAAGATAGTACAGGAAGACTTATAAAATATGTGTATGCAAGTCTAAATGTTTGTTGTTCTTATTAACACAGGTTTCAATACATGGGGCATGGCTATATTTCATCAGAAGGGATCAAAGCAAAGAAGGGAAGGAATGGCTGCTGATATTCTCTCTATTTTCCTGTTTGGAAGGGATATGCATTGAGAATAGAGACAAAACAAAATATCTTTAAGTCTATAAGGTCAATCTATGAATGGTGGGTGGGAGAATGAATTGACAGCATTGGTTGGCTGTTACTAGAATTTCCTGTTGAGTTGGCGGCGGCACAAATTTGTAGATTTCTTGTTCAGTACTTTTCTTTTTGAATTTTCCATTTTTATTTCATTTGTATTTGTGTTATCTTGAGATTAGAATGTGTACACAATCCAACAGGAAAGTAGAGATAATGGAGATAAACTGAATGTGATTATGTACCAGTGTTTATGTATCATGTATTGTATGTATGTATGTACAATTGCACTTTTAATCCATTGTTAAATGATTCATAGTTAATGTTGCTATTGTGTTTAACTCATTTTGCTTTAAGGATATACTCGGCGGGCATATCATTTTTTGTTAGACAAGCTGTTTTAAGAATATACCTGGAGACAAACTATTTTAAGAATATACCTGGACCTGTATATTGTTTTAAGGATATACTTGAGTGGATATATCAAATTGTTTTTTAGACTGTTTGTTTTAAATTTGATTTGGGTGGCTAGTGTGTCTATTAATATTACCTCTCATTGTATTTGAAATAACAACACATTTAATAAATTCTTTTTTTCAATCACTCTCTAATTTTCTTTCGATTTATCATCATTTGCCAAATAAGTTGTGATACAATTTGTCAAGTAAGTTGTGATACAAGTCACTCAACAAATTGGTATTAAGAGCACTGGTTTTGTCCTCAATCTCCAACCATGGTGAATGAGAACACAATCTCTAATCAATTTCCAACCGATCTATCAATTTTCAAGGGAGAAAATATGATAGATGACGTGTATAGACCTCTGAATTGCAGAAGGTGAATAAAATGTTGAGGACTCTCCCAGTCAAGTTTGATTATATTGTGGCGGCAATTGAAGAATCTAAAGACTTGTCAGAGATGAAGCTTGAAGAATTGTAAGCATTTCATGAGGCACATGAGATCAGGCTGAAGCAAAGAGATTTAAAAAAGGTATCTGAACAGGCATTGCTAGTAAAGTTCTTCAAGAAGATTAAAGGGAATTCCTTGAGCAATAACAAAGTGAAAGCAAAATGGAAGAAGAAGTTGAATGATAATGGTGATATTGGTAAGACTTCAAAAAGTCAAAGTGAAACTAACAAGAATGGAAATCATAAAGTCAAGAAGGTTGACATGAAGGAGGTTCAAGGTTGTTGTTGTAAGAAGATTGACATTATGCTAGAGGTTGCTACTACAACAAGAACAATGATGAGGTCAATGGTGTGGCTCAATTTTCTCATGATGGTAGCAGTGAATCTGAAGATGTTATCTTGATGGTTGTAACACATTTAGCCTCAAGGAAAGAAAATGTGTGGTGCCTTGATACATGTCGCAATAAGAACTGGTTGTCAGGTTGGATGAACAGTTAGAAGATCAATTCGTTTTGTAGACAACAACATGGTGACATCAAAAGGAATGTGCAACATCAGGGTGAAAAATAAGAATGAGCGTGAAGCTATCATCATTGATGTCATGTATGTTCCTTCAATGGCGATTAATTTGATCAACTTAGGTCAATTACTTGACAAGAACTACACAATGAAGCAAGAAAGAAAAGAACTCAAGGTATTTCATGAAATGTCTAGGAAAATTCTAAGGGCACCTTTGTCAATTAACAGGACATTCAAGGTCATGATCAATATGCTTAATCATCAATGTCTTACATCAATCACAGTTGAAGATAAAAATTGGATTTGGCATCAAAGATTTGACCATCTCATGTAACTGCATATTCATAGGGGAGATTGTTGCAGGTCTTTATCACATGCAGGGGGAGCATCCCCAATACTGTTATTTTGTTACTTATCTTATCACTTTCATTTATTATTGTTTATTGAGTCTCCCTCATGATTGCACATCTTTTCAATCAAGTTTAAAACTAACCCGTTATCATTTTAGCATGTATAAAACAATGGTTATGATCAAAATACTTTTAGTAAATTTCATGAGTTTATGGAATAAAAACTACGTGTTTGATTCAATTTAGGTGAAAAGAAAAATCTCAAAGTGCCTTTTAAAATCATGAAAAATTGAAGTTTTGAGTGTTTGATTCGAATAAATCAAATTACACACTCATTCTGATTCGAATCAAATCCAATAAGGGTGAACCAAAACTTTCAAAACAATTTAATTCGAATAAGGTTTTGTACATGATTCGAATCAAGCAATTTCTTGGCACCCCTACTCAATTTAATTTGAATGATACTTTACACATGATTCAAATCACACAGTTTTAAAACATTTTTAAGGGCCTGGAGCAGTTGATTTGAATCACTATTTGTACATGATTTGAATCACGGGGTATTTGATTCTAATCAAACATTGTACTTGATTCGAATCAAGTGAAAAAAGGTCAAAAATCAGAATTGCTTTCATTCCATTCACTTTCTCATTTGACTCAAAACATGCATTGTTCTTGATTTGAATCTAATCATCTTTTACCACTTACTTTTGTGCTTAAACTCAAGCACATATAAAATATTTTGTCAACACTTTTTTGTTAGTGGAATTTCATAATCATTTGTGATTTTTTTGTGAAATCTACTTTGTCTTACTTTGAAAAGTTCAAAGCTCTTGCATTTGAATTTATTTCTTCTTCAACCTCAGTTTTTGTTTCGGATCTTGATTATGGGAGATTTGTGATTGATTAGGGGAGACACTATCTTGAAACTAATCATTATTGGAGATTGGTTAAAGATTTTCAAGTTCTTACAAGATTGAGGAGAAGTCATCGGTGCTGAAAAACTCCAGTGTGAAAAGAATGAGGTTATTCTTTCCAGATTACCTTAGTAGTGACTGTGTGGAAGGCTACAGATAAGACGGAGTTCTTCTCATATCTTCGGACAGCTCACCGCTCAAGAATCCATAGGATCAAATGGTTTATTGCTATAGACGAATGCTTGGAGTAGAATTGGTGACATTTGAAGATTTAGAAGCGTCGATCAAGTAAAGATTGCACATAAGAGTTTGGCGTGAAGTTGTATACAAGTCAAGATCTAGAATTAAAGTTTTTGTTTTCTTCAGCATTATTATGGATAAGTGATTGTATGCACTCTTGGAATATTTGTCAAAATAATGGGATTATGTTGGTTTCGATGAGAAACCATTGAAGATTTCATGTGGACTCACGCGAGGACGACAAATTCGAAGCATTATAAATTCCAGTGTCATCTCTCTACCTTTTACTCTTGCATTTAAATTTTGTAGTATATTGCATGCCTAGATTTTTCAATTCATAGAGTAGTTTATCGTTTATTATATTGATAGCGCTTTATTACTTAAGATTAGATTTTGTTGTAATTGAGACCTAATCGAACTTTATGGTGATTAAAATCTGAGAAACTTGTTGAGTTTAGAATTCTCAAATTGAATCATTGTATAATGATTTCTCGTTAATTATACTAGGGATATCGATTGAATGCCTTGTGTATCATGATAAATTCAATTTGTGATATTTGTACATTAATTAAGTGTTTACGTGAGATAATTTCTATTCAAGTATAATTCACTCTATTTCGATCTAAAATACTTCTGCGTGCATACTCTAAAAAACCTCCAATATTTCATTTTCGAAGAATCAGTTTATTTGTTTTAAAAAGTCTATTCATCATCCTAGATTTTTTTCTTCCACCATATTCTCACCCAACACATCTCAATTTTAAGAGCCTTATATTGATGCATATGAAGAAGTTGGTGTATGGACTTTCAAGGATTGATGTGGCCAAGCAGACCAGGAAACCATTCAAACATGACTTGCCAATGAAGTCACAACAGAAGCTTGAGATTGTGCACTCAGATGTGTGTTGTCCATTTGAAAAATCACTAGGAGGTAATTTCTATTTCTTAACCTTCTTAGATGAATTCACTAGGAATGTGTGGATTTACGCGTTGGAAAAGTGAAGTTTAAGCAATTTCAAGAAATTTAAATTGATGGTTGAAAAGCAAGCTGGAAACACCAAAAGGTTGAGAGCTGATGGTGGTAGTGAGTATAACTCAGCAGAGTTTACTCAATTTTGTGAGAAGGAAGGGATTGATCATCAAGTGATGGTACCGTACACTTCTTAGCACAATGGAATTGCTGAAAGGAAAAATAAAAGCATCTTGAGTATGACTAAGCGTATGCTTAAAGCAAAGTTGATGCCTGGGAACTTTTGGGGAGAAACTGTTTCAACTACAGTGTACATCATCAATAGATATCCAACAAAGAAATTGAATAAAAAACTCCTTATGAAGCCTGATCAGGATTGAAGCCAAGTGTCGGTTATCTAAAAATCTTTGGCTCACTATGCTTTAGACATGTTCCTGAATAACTTAGAAAAAATTTGGATGATAGAAGCCAATCTATGGTCCTAGTTGGATATTATTCAACAGGTTGCTACAAGTTGTTCTCGCCTAATGAAAACAAGGTAGTGATCAACATAGATGTTGAATTTGATGAAAAAAATGATGGAATTGGTTGCTTGCTTCACAAGATTCAGTGGAAGAAGATGAAAGCTCAAGTCACATTAAAATTATAATGCATGACGAGGAACAACCTGAACCAACTAAGCTTTCACATGTTCAAGGAGTAAGAAGG